AGGAGGAGGAGGGAGGAGGAGGAGGAGGAGGAGGAGGAGGAGGAGGAGGAGGAGGAGGGGGAGGAGTGACCCTCAGCCGGAGTGACCTTTATGGTGCGGTCCCATTGGGCCTCTCAGAGCGTGGAGGCAGCGATGCGGTGGCAGCGGCCCGCGCGCGGGGTTGTGCGGCCTCCCCGCGCCGCCCCCCCGCTCCCCCCCGGAAGGCCGCGCACCACATGCCACTCGTGCCTTGGGGTCGAGTCAGGCACGTCCCTCTACAGGAGGAATATGCAAAAATAGTCCAGAGATCGTCTGAGGACGCTTTGCTTGATTGTGCTTGGACCGTTTTTGAGCTCGGCCTCCCCGCGCCCCCCGGAAGCCGCGCACCACGGGTCACTCGTGCCTGGGGTCAGGTCGGGCACGTCCCTCTGCAGGAGGAGTATTCAGAAATAGTCAAGAAATAATCTGGAGGCGGAGGAGAAGGAGGAGGAGGAGGAGGAGAAGGAGGAGGAGGAGGAGGAGGAGGAGGACGCGGAGAACAGCAGAGATTACGTCGCCGGAGATCTGGGCAGCTATGCTCTCTCTCTCTCTGTCTGTCTCTCTTTCTCTCTTTCTCTCTCTCTCTCTCTCTCTTGGCGGCGCGCACGAGGGGGGTGTGGTGCGCGAGAGGGGAGGCGGCCTTCTGTGAGAAGCCCCGGCGGACTTCGAAAGAAGCCTTCTCAGGCTTGGGTTAAGTCGGGCACGTCCCTCTACAGGAGGAAAATTCAAAAATAATAAAAAATAGTCTGGGGACGGTTTTTCGATCATGTTGTGGCGATTTGTGAAAAGTGTTGGACGATTGCTTATGTTTCGTCCAAGATCCCCCTGGGGGGCATGCCCGACCTAAGATTTAGGCTAAGATTTGGGCCTCGCGCAATGGCGGGACGAGGAATGCGGGGAGCAGCGAGGGCTGCAGTCAAGGGGCCCTTCGGGGCCCCTGCAGGGGCCCTGCAGGCCCCAAAGAGGGCCCGAGAGGTGCACCTCTCTTCTCCCCCCCCTCTATAGTTAGGTCGGGCCTGTCCCTCTACAGGGGGAATATTTAAGAATAGGCAAAAAATAGTCAGGGGACGAATGTTTGACTTTTTTCGCCCATTCGGGGGGTATTTTTTGAGTATCTTGCATTTTTCGCCTAAGAGCCCCCTGTAGGGGAACACGCCCGACTTAACTCTATAGCCCGCCCATGGAGCGACGCCCGAGCAGAAGCCCCTGGCCCTTCCAAGAAGCCCCCCGTCTTCTCAGAAGCCCCCCGCTTCGTCACAAGGCCGCCCCCCTCGTGCGAGCCCCCTCGTGCGCGCCGCCAGCCTTCGCTGGGCTCCTGTGCGCGGGTCTGGGGGGAGGAGACCGTCGAGGCAAGAAGCACGGGGACCATGACCAAGATGTCGCGGGATCTAGTCGATGCCGACCTTGGTCATGGCCCATGCCGGCCGCCTCCGATGCGCGAGGATCCTCCACGGGCTGACGCTGACCAAGACCAGCGCTGACCAAGAGCAGCACGACGTTTCTGCATTCGCCCTGGTCCCCGCTTGCTTCCCCCCCCAGTGGCCCGCCAGTACTCGAGCCGCCGTCTGGATCGGGGCGCGCCCTGTCGAAGGCGGCTCTCCAGGTGGGGCGGCCGTGCCGAGGCTCGACGGCTGGGCGGTGGCGCTAAGGACGTGCTCGTCCCTGCGCGCAGAGCGGCCAGCTCGTCTGGCGCGACCGGCGCGGCCGCGGTGGCGATGGCCGCTGGGGACTTCCCAACGCGTCTCGCAGGCTGCGCTGACGCGCGGGCACTTCAGTGCGAGTCAATGACGCGGGCGGGCGCGGTGTCACGGCGACGTCGACAGCTGCAGGCACAATGGTGATACAGCTGGCACGAAGGGTCAGACAAGTCATGGTTTCGGAGGCGTACCCTTATGTTCCTCGACGGTGGGCTCTCCACCTTGGCGTGCTCTTCGCGTGGGATACCTCAATGGTTCCGTGGGCTTTCTGCGCAGGGGCCCGTGTTCTTTCAAGGGGGGAAAACCACCCAGACCAGACAATTGGCGTTTACTAAACGGCCTTGGGAGTTTACTAAACAGCCCTGCCCTGTTCGATTCCTTTTTTGGGCGCGTTTACTAAACGGCCTCGCGTGCTGGAGTGGTTATCATGGGGGTGGATTTTCTGCCCTTCATTATTGATCCACGTTCTCATGACCTTGCTTCGACTGACGCAGCGATGCTGTCGCTGCCCTTCGGGCTGTCTCTTGGTCACGGTCCCCTCGGCGGGCCCCCCCCTGGCCGGCTCCCCGCCCCCCCGCCATCGGCAGGAGCTGCGTCTCTCCAGCCAGGAGCGCCGCGAGGTTGCCGCGCGCACGCGGCAACTCGAGGAGGACCGCACCGCGCGCGGGGGACAAGACGGGTCCCTGAGGGAAGCGTTCCCGAGGTTTTTCGCAGCCTCTGGGCTTCGTGGGGCCCCCCCACGGGCCTCCGGGGGTGTCAGGAGACGACGCAGGATGAGGAGCTGGTATTGGAGGGGGGGGGCCCAGGGTCCAGACCCCGTTTCCCGCAGGACCAGTTTCCCCCCACTGAGCTGCGCTGAAGCCGGGCATGTCCCTCTACAGGAGAAATCTTCAAAAATAGTACCAAGAATAGTTTGGGGACGATTTTTCTAGCATTTGCTCAGTATTTTCGCGTATGCTTCACAATTGTTATCTGTCGTCCAAAATCCGCCTGTAGGAGGACACGCCCGACCGAACGTTGCCCCCACGCTGAGCTGCGCGTCGTGGAAGATCGCGGCGGGAGGCGGTTGGCCGCTTTTTCTGCTTGTGGGCGCCATTTCCGGGCCCCAAGGCTCGCCAAATTATCCCAGTGCGACCCTACCTAGGAGTTGGAGGATCTAGGAAAGCAACATCTATATGAAGCTAAGTAAAGCTAAGATGAAGCTAAGCTAAGATGAAATAAGCTAAGCTAAGCCTAAGTAGGGATATACACCCATGCTATGATATGCGATGCTGCGCTATGCTATGCTACGCTATGCTATGCTGTGCTCTGCTATGCTAAAGCTCAGCGAAGCTAAGATAAATATAAGCTAAGCTAAGATAATACTGAGGTAAGATGAAGCTAAGCTAAGGTAAGATCTAATAAGCTAAGCTAAGATGAGATAAGCAACGCCAAGCTAAGGGAACGTCACTGGGGGAACCGCGGGGCGGATGCCGGGGGAACCGCCCGGGGCGCATTCCACTGCCCGGCCTCCAAGCCTCAGAGTAAGAACCCTTCTAGGCAGAGCCTAGGTAGGGAATAAATATGATCATTAGGACGGAAACAAGGGTTGACCCCCGGAGGGGGGAGGAGGAGGAGGCGGAGGAGGAGGCGGAGGAACGCGGCACGAGGAAAAGGAGGAAGAGGAGGAGGAGGAGGAGGAGGAGGAAGAACCCGGCACGAGGATGATTTGAAGGAGGAGGAGGAGGAGGACGAGGAGGAGAAGGGAGGAGGCAGGAAAGGAGGAGGGAAGGAACGGACGATGACAAGGAGGATGAGCAGTTGGGCTTCGGAGATAGGAAGTTGTGAGAGGTTCTTGAAGGATGACGAAAGCCATCTTAGGGGCTCTCTTGCGGCCCGCGTGGGGCCTCTTGGAGCACCCTCGGGGCCCTCTTAGGGCTCGGTAGGGTGGTCTGAGAGGCCTCGTGGGGACATCTGGGCCCCCATGACTCTAAAAAAATGGGGGAAGGTAATTCAGGTCCCACCCTGGGAGGCTCAAAAATGGTGTCTTGGGACCCGCTCGGGCCGCTCCTGGGGCCTTCCTGGGTGCATATTGAGGTTCTCTCGGGGCCACATGGAGGCCTCCGAAGCCCGTAGGAAAGGAAAAGGCGAGAAGGCCAAAAACATTGGCTTTCCCTCGGTTGTTGAAGGAATCAGGCGTCTTGGAGGGTGCCTGGGAAGGCTCGAAGGGCACTGGGAACGGTCTTGGGCCCGTCGTGAGGCGTCTTCGAGGTATTTCGGAGGTTATCTTGAACCATGTTCGGCTATCTTGGACCACCTTGGAGGCCATCTTGCGCTCTCCGAGGCCCTCTTGGAGCCATCTTGGGCCATCTTGGACGTTCTAACCTGAAGTAGGCCCTGTCCCTCTACAGGAGGGAAATTCAAAAATAGTCAAAAAGTAGTGTGGGGACGATTTTTTGTCCTATGTTTGACTATTGTGGTGCATTGTTGTGTTATTTGTTGTCCAAAGTCCGCCTGTAGGAGGACATGCCCGACCTAACGTTGCCCCCACGCTGAGCTGCGCGTCGTGGAAGATCGCGACGGGAGGCGGTTCGCCGCTTCTTCGGCTTGTGGGGGCCCTTTCCGGGCCCCAAGGCTCGCTAATGAGATATTGTCATTGGGACGGAAGCAAGAGTTGGCCCCCGGAGGGGGAAGGATGGGGAGGAGGAGGAGAAGGAGGATGAGGAGGAACGCGGCACGAGGAAAAGGAGGAGGCGGAGGAGGAGCAGGAGGAGGAGGATCTTGGGCCATCTTGGACACTCTGACCCCTTCCGGCCCCCCCCATCCAAGGCCCAGGGGAGGGGGGGAGGGGGGAAGCGTCGAGGCCCCATTTGCCCGCAAGCCGTCTCGCTCAACCCCAGCTGGAGGGTTTCTCCGAAGGGCTTCGGCGACCCCTCCTCCTCTTCCTCCTCCTCCTCCTCCTCCTCCTCCTCCATCCTCCTCCTCCTACCCCTTTCTCCTCCTCCTCCTCCTCCTCCTCCTCCTCCTCCTCCTCCTCCCTCTCCCTCTCCTCCTCCTCCGCCTCCTCCGCCTCCTCCTCCCCCTCTCCCTCCTCCTTCTCCTGCATCTCCGTCTCCTCCCTCTTCCTCCTCCTCCTCCTCCTCCTCCTCCTCCTCCTCCTCCTCCTCCTCATCCTTCTTCTTCCTCCTTCTTCCTCCTCCTCCTCCCCCTCCTCCACCTCCTCCTCCTCGGGTCGCCTACGGCCCGGGGGGAAACCGTGCACCCCCGCCCGCCCTCCCAACACATAGGTGACACCCGAGGGAGTCTCGGCACATTGCTTAGGAGCGCCACGCATGCCATGTGCGGCACGGGTCCCAGCTGCACCAGGCACCTTGGAGGCCCAGGCGAGCCAGGCGCGCCAGGTGCGGCTCGTGCTGCACGTTGAAGCAATATGCCGACCCCCCCGCCGTCCTTATCAAAAGCCGTGCATTCGGTATTGGTTTGGCAAAGTGCATTCGGTATTGGTTTGGCTTGCGCGCCGCGAGCAATATGACGGCACCCCCGCCGTCCCTGACAAAAACCCAGGCAGAGTATTCGCGGGGCGCTTGCGCACGCTCCAGATGTGGAGGCAAAGTGCACTCTGTAGCGTTGTTGACAAGGATGGTTGGTTTGCGCACAGCGAGTAATATGACGGCACCCACGCCGCCCCTGACAACAACCTAGGCAAAGTGGTCGCGGGGCGCTCGCGCATGCTCCAGACGTAGAAGCAGCGTGTATTATGTATTGCTTTTTTGACAGCGATGGTTGGACTGTGCGCAGCGAACAATATGACGGCACCTCCGCCGTCAGTATCAAACAAATTTCAAAATGGTCGCGGGGCGCCCGCGCATGCTCCAGATCTGGAGGCAGAGTATATTATGTTTTGTGTGATAGGGATGGTGGGGGGAGCATGTCTCGGGTTGGCCCACAGTCGGGTGGGGGAGGGGGCGTATATTAATATGGAGCACTTGTAAAGCGCCCCACCGAGCAGGGGAAGGAGGGTTGCGGTAGAACTTGTGTTCGACAAATGTTTGCGGCGCTAAGGCGAGAGCCATACTTTGAAAAGGAACCGCCCTCCATCCGCGAAGCTGCTGCAACGCGTTATTAAATCGAACGCATCCAGCGCTCAGGTGATACCCTGGTTGTTTTGAGATGGAGCCGCCCTCTATTCGTGAAGCGGATGCAGAGTTTCAGGAGGCGCTAAAACGAGAGCCACCTTATCAAACGGAACGGCCCTCCACCCGTGAAAGTGTTGAACATTTTCAAGTTTCAGAATCACAAACGGTGAGGAAGTCTCAGGCGAAACGGCCAGCCCGCCCTCCCGATACGTCTGGAGGGGGTGCGACAGGGATGACTTATCTATCCAGCTGCTTACGGCAAGTCCCGCCACCGTGCCCGCACAGCATTCGCGTTGCGTCTTACGCGAGAGAGACGGGAGGCGCATGGAGGCCCCAACGTTGTTCACGATGACGATGATGGTGTGGTTGCTGATGGTGATGATGATGATGATGATGGTGGTGGTGGTAATGATGATTGAGCTCAACGGTGGTGGGGGTGATGATGATACTGATTATGTTCGGATATGTAACAATTCAGAGGGGTACCCCAGCAGGTATTCCCAGGGCCAGGCTGAGGACAGAGAATGAGTTCTTGCATCGTCGCCATATTTTGGCTCAAGAAAAATATCCCCTCCCATCCATCATCCGAGTTTGGGGGAGGAGGATTGCTTTGCATGGTAGCGCGGAGCAAGATCTGATCCACGGCATTTTGCTGAGTGACTCCAGGGAGTCACGGGTCAGCTTCCGCCATGGAGCAACAGGTGCAGCTGCAAGCACAGCAGATTGCCGAGCTGAGAGACCTGCTGCAGCGTCAATCGGCGGAGCTCCAGAGGATGGCCGCCGCACAACCAGCAGCACCAGCGCAAGCAGCAGCACCAGTGCCCCCAGCAGGGCCACGACGCATGGAAGGTATTCTGGACAGCAAGATAGTTGGGAAGGTCAAGCAGTTCGATGGCCAACGTTCGTCATGGAAGACGTTTGAGTTTCACTGGAAGGCCTACTTAGTGGCCAATGATTTTCGGTTTAGAAGGATGTTTCAGGCCATCGAGGACGAACCTGACGTGGCCATGCTGGTGAATGACGTGGGCAGTGTGAATAATCCAGATTTCGAGCCTCTCTCCAGCCAGCTGTACTTTATGTTGGTGCTGGCAATGCCAGAAGACAGCACGGGCGAGAGCATCCTCTCCAACACACTTGAGGGAGAGGGCGCCCTGGCATGGACGAAGCTGTTGAATGAGTACTCTCCCAATGAGCCAGGGAACATAGTCGGACAGTTCAGGAAGATTCTAGGTACGGTGTTCCCCAAAGATGCGGACATCGTCACGGAGATTATGAAGTTAGACAAGGAGATCGCCCGCTACGAGAAAGCGAGTGGCGAGACGGTCTCAGCGAACGTATCACGAGGCATCCTCCTAGGGGCTCTCTCAGAGGAACCCGATCTCCAGAAGCACTTGTTCCGCAACCTTCGGAGTTTGCCGACCTACGCCGACATGAGAGCAGAAGTGGTGAACGCCCTTGCAGCCCAGAGGAGTGTGCACGACGACGCTATGGACATTGGAGCACTCAAGGGCGGCAAGTCCAAGGGCGGCAAGGCGAAGG